TGTTGTGGTCTCCTTTGGAAGAGCCAGCATGGGCTCGAGGCGTTCGGATATCGCATTCTCTTTGGCACGCAACTCGTTGATGTCGTAGACTGTAAAGTCCACTTCCCATGGCTTCTTTTTACGCAGCCCGCCAAGAACTGGCTCAAAGTCGGCGCCATCTCCAAAAAAGTCGTCGTCATCGTCATCAAACGCAGCATCAGCTGAGTATGTACCTCCGTATGTACCACCTTGCGTTTCCTGGTGTGTCGTCTGAGTAGCAGGGGCTGCGGCTGTGCTATTTTCTGACTCGGCCTCTGAGTATTCAAAGTCGTCATAGTCCTCGTCCATGAATTCGTCGCCTGAGTAGTCTGACATTGCAAAGTCCGATTGTGTAGATGTGCAGTCTTGCGCAACTTTAAGAAATTTGGCGGGGAAAAATACAGCACTCTATATAAGCTTTGGAAAAGAAAGGAGAAAGAGAATCCAGTCAAAAAGGACAACCCCAGCGCCTTCTGGGGCTTTCTTTTTGCTTGATCCGCAGCCTCTACCGGCTCTCCTTGTTTGAAAGCACTGATTAAAATGCATGTCAGTGGGCGGTTTCAAGTCGCAGAACAAGTGTATTGCGCAGCAACTGTGCGCGCAAAATGGTCGCACTAATGTGTGGCCACGGCCACGCCAAAGGATGTGGTGTTCTCACTGTCTAAGAACATGTTTTCCTCGCGCACAACAATTTGGACGATTGTGTGCAATACTGAGTTTAATACGCCGCAGTCGCACTCGGGTGGTGTTCTGCCTGGGAGCCGGTTCAGTGCCAGGCGGTGAATTGTGCTGCGAGCTTCGGACGGCGCGTTCAGGCGGATAATGCTCAGCCAAGCTGGACGCAACGTTGTCAGCACGGGATTCCGCAGGTTAAGTTGCGGTAATACTAGTTGTTGTGGCTCATGCTAAATAAAATTGCGTGTATCGCATATTCATTATTCGAAAGGATGCACTTTGTTGTTCTCGGCCTGCACAGGTGTACCAAATGACAAGTTGTACTGGTAGGAACGCTTGGCAGCCAGTTCCTGCAGATTATCCGTCACAGTGGTCACCTTCTTGTGATAGTCGTTGAGCTTGTCGGCGAGCTTCTGCCGAGCTAATTTGAAGGTCCACTTGACGTCTGAGGACCGGAAAATCTGCACAAGCGCGGGAATTCTGTTGACCGTAACTGGACCCTGTATCCCTGCGTTGTAATCATATATTGCAGCGCTAATGCAAGTGAATTCTGGATCTCTTAATGCGCGACCGCGCGCAGACACCACTCTTTGCCCCTTTTATTTTGCTTACACTATTCAAAATGCAAGCGCTCCTTGTTGAATCTTTGCCTCCCAGCTTGATTAATAATGCCAGACAATTGTAAGCACCACGAAACATGCCTATCGCCTGCTGACTGATTGACTGACTGGCTGATAATATATTTGGATTTTTGACTTTAAAGTTCAACACTGCTGGCGTCGACGTTGTATAGAGCCTGTATTAGGATTCCTTTCATAAGACAATTTATGTCCCGATTTGTTTGTTTGGTATGAAAGCTAAACAAATTATTCACAGAATACGGATTTTTTTAGCAAATTTTAAAATTAAAACAGCGGTTTGTTAAAAAAGTATATGACGCTATAAATACTATTCTTTAAAGTGTCGGATGTGACATAGAGCAGACGCACACAAAGAAAAAACCTACTCACCATGATATTAGCTCATGCGACAGATAAATACCCGGGAATATATGGGTGTTAGTGATTACATAAATAGTTTATCCAATAATTGCGATTGTATTTCTTCAATATGTCTTGGGTCAGTAGCGGCAAGAGACCAATTTGGCTGGGGTGTCTCAATGTTTTCGATCTAATTCTGCTTGTGCCACCAAAATAAAATTGGCATATTAAATACCCCGATTTCTTTCTATTTCTTGTAAAGTCTCCAAATAAGCAATTCTTTGTCTAAAAAGAGCGCCTTAGCTTTATCTACTTTACTAACAAACCTGTAATAGACAGTTAGAATTAGCTTGAATTTAAGCTTTGAACTGATTGAAGCCTCGTTAGCTCAGTGGTAGAGCATGTGGCTTTTAACCACAGGGTCGTGGGTTCGACACCCACACGAGGCGCACATTTTTTGCTTAATTTTTTCCCTTGATTGGGCTGGAATTGCTACTATTTTTTTTAAGTAATTGAACGGGTATTGCTATCAACGCATTTGTGGCAAAAGTGTGCCGCTATAATTAGCATCCAAGACATACGCAAGTCCAACAATTTAGTGTGACTCAATCAAAGGTAAAAAAAACCCTAAACAATATCATTATTTTTGCGCCGTTAGTGCTCTATATAAGAATTGCAGTCCTTCCTAATTCTTCTCTTATGTGTATACTTGTAATATTCATTAGATATTTTAATATAATTAGCAGTATATGGATAAAT